AATGAATTAGACTTCGAGTAAAGAATGACTTGTTAATTGTCAGTCTTTGTTTAATAAGCATTTTGTCTAAGTCTTTGTCGATGATGGAAGGTATTAGGTAAGGTCCAGCAAAATAAAATTTTGAAATTATTAAGGTATAATTGTTGATGATGGTAGGTATTAGGTAAGGTCCAGCAAAATAAAAATTTGAAATTATACAGGAATCATTGTCGATGATTGTAGGAATTAGTAGGTAAGGTCCAATAAAATTAAAGGATTCGTTAATTTATAGGACTAACTCGTCAAAAACCATGGCCAATATGTAGTTGTTTAATAGAAACTTGTTAAACTAAGAATATCTCCAAAAGCCTGAGGACAAAACCGAGTATGTAGTTATTTGCATCATAATTTCATTAAAAACATATCCGTGTGAGCACGTTCATTTTGTGTAAATGGTTGGGACGTGTTAGATAAATGCAAAACTGAGAGACATTAGACAAAATTATTGTCTTTTATTTATTAAAGAAATTGTTACAGAGGAGGTACAGCATTTGGATCTGGGTTTTGGAAATAGTATGCGGCAATCGTGAGGTTGAAGGCGGTGGTGGGATTTAGAACATCTACAATTTATCTTCCAGATTAGAGGTCGTAGGTTCGAATCACCATGACATCCTAGTCGTATATGTGAGTTTAGATCATGTCTAAAATATCGATAATATCGATGAAATATCGAGGATATCATCGTTTTTTCTAGTCACGGATATTTCAGAACGTATCCATATACATATTGTATAAATATCAATAATATCGACGATAATGTCGGAAAATATCAATGTCGATAATTTCACTCACACTTCAACAATATTTTGTTAAAATATTGCTACAATATCGCTATAATATCGAAATATTGATGTAATAGAAAAAAGAAGACAAAAAAAGCACAAAGCACACACACAAAGGGGATTCGAACCCCTACCATTTCACTCCTCCAACGCCTTAACCACCATGTTGCTTATGTTTTTGTGGTAATGCACAAAGGGGACTTTATATGTGGTACTAAGTTACTCATGTATCTTACCATACAATGTATAAAGTGTAAAATATTATAGTAAATCATTATATATAAACGATAATGGTGTGTTTAATCTTCTTTCATTAATTACTACATATTTTCTACACTCACAATATTTGTCAATTCACTATATAATCAACTTAAATTAGTTAAACCCATCATGCATTACATTTCCTTCCAATTTTTTGTGATAAAATAATAGATAATTGACTAAATAAACATCCTCCAAAGTTTCAATAAAAATTTCAAAGTTTTTCTTACAATTTCCATGATTTTTATTCAATTTTTATCGATATCGATAATATCCCAATATTTCCATTGAAATTTCCGTGTTTTTGAACTACCAATACTGCGATATCATCGATATTTTAGACCTTGGTTTACACTACGTGTTGTAATTTTTGTTGTTGAGCTTTGTGATTCCTCCAACTACGTGAAGATCACCCATTGTGTTAGTAGAATTCTGGTTGTACCGAACAAGCTTGATTTAAAGTGTAACACCCCGATTCCAAATTTAATTCCTCATTTAATTTATTTAATTGAAATTACGAATTTACCCTTGGGGTAAGGGTAATTTGGTCATTTTCTTATCCAGAAGGATTTTGGGACAACGAGTGATATGGTTACGTAGGTCGTACTGAGACAAGTCCGTGGAGACGTGGTAGGCTTGAATCAGAGTCGTAACAAGGAAATGGCGATCAAAATACTTATAGTGGCAAAACTGTAAATACTTCAAAGTTTGGAGTAGAAAAATAAGAAACCTTCCTTCTCTCTCCTCCGTGCGTCTTCTTCTTCTCTCTCTCTCCTCACTCTCGACTCCGAACACTCTCTCTCTTCAAATCTCTTTGCTTAGGTCACGACAAGGGTCGGCGCTGGTCTAGTTCAAACCGGCTTGACCTCACCATCCGAACCCACCCGTTTTCCTAGCTGAAAAACTCAAATCCTACCGGGGGTGACTGCTAGTTTTTCTCCGGTTTTTCCCGTCGTTGCGCCACCGCCTCTTCCTCCCAATCCCGGTGAAACAAGTGGGGTTTCTTCCTCTTTTTACTTGCCCTAGCTGTTTATGGGGTAGGATTCGAACGATTTTGGCGTTTTGGAAGTTAATTTTCGATCTAGGTTTTGGACGGATTTCAAAGTGAAATTCCGGGCGGTTGTCGTATGAATTGGACCTTCTCGTAGTTGAATGAAGTGATCTTTGCCTTGAGTAGTACCTAGGGTCGAAAGGGTGAGCGGTGGTATGGAGTTTTTCCGTCGCCAGAAATTTCTCTACACATCCACATTTTAATCATGTTGTAATCCTTGTGTTGTCACGAGCGCGTAGGTGTGCTCAGATTTCAATTCGGACGTGGTTTGACTATCGAACAGATTTCGCATATTGTGCGTTATCCGGGTTCGATAGGTTCTGACTGTTGGATCATTTCCAAATTAAAATATGTCAATCTAGGCAGTCCTAGAATCGTGTAGGAATTCGCGATCGTGAATCGGAGCCCCGGATGTTCCCATTCAATAATTCGAAGTTTAGGGTTTGCGATAACCATCCAATTATGAGCGATCCGATCGTCCTTTTCGAATCACGCCTACAAGATGTAATTCCTAAACCCATAGTCGGACCTGAGGATATCTTGTCCTACGTACACGCATTAGGAACTTTGGGATTTAAGTATTCAATTTGTGATTTTTGTTTCGAAGTGATTTTATATTAATTAAGGGTTCGTATCTTGAAATAGGTGCTTCGACCGCTCGTACTCAGCAGGCGGGACCCTCTCATGGTCAGACAACTTGAGACTATTTGTGAGTGGACATTTATTTTAAATATGCATTATTTTCTATGATTGAAAGGTTATGCATGGCATGGGTTTATATTTATACATATAGATATATTGGATTTACGTTTGGGAAATAAATAAATTGAGATATTAATAATATTAAATTGAGAATGTTTTTTTATTGAAAATTTGAAGTGAGTTTGGGGAATTTGGGAATATGTATGATTGCACTATGGAAGTACCATCCCTTAGTTACTAGGCTTCTCACACATGGCGTTGGAATTTCTGCCGTATGGGAAGAACATGTGATTATTAGTCTCACACGTGGCATTGAAATTTCCGGCGTGTGAGACACTTCCCATACGTAGCGTTGGAATTTTCGGTGTATGGGAAGATTATGTATATTGCTTGGAATCATCACACATGGCATTGTAATTTCTGGTGTGTGATGATGTAGTCTACGCATGTAGGACTTAGTATTGGAGCTACACGTGACGTTGGAATTTCTGGCGTGTGAGCTATGGAGTTTCGTCCCCCGGTTGGACCGCTCATCCCTAGACGCAGGATAGCACCTGGAAATCCTGCGAGCTAGCCAAACAATCCCCCGGTTGGATTGTTTCACCGACACCTAAGTAGTCTGATGAACATTATGGATATTTATATATATATATATATAGGTAAAGTAGTTAAAGTACATGGAGTGATTTGGTAAGAGTAGTATAAATTTTGGGGCTAAGGTTTATGGAGGGAATGATTTTGGGTTTCAGAGATTAATGGTTTTGAGTATTAAATATGATTATGAATCTGCATGTCTTGAGCATTATTTTTACACGATGGGGTTATTATGTTGTTTTAAATGCAAACTTTGTTTTTGTCCACTCACATGTTTTCTGTTTTGCGCCCCCCAGACAGTAGTCACTCAAGGAGAGCTGCAAGTTGTGTTCGAGGCTCGAATTGTGAACTTCAGTAGTTAGGCTTCGAGTAATTTCTTTTTACTCAACTGGATGTTGTTGTAAACTAAATCTGTTAGATGCTCTGTTATTGCCCATGTTAGGTTTTACTTGTGAGGCCGGAGGCCATTTTAGTATGTACTGTTGAATGTTGAAAGCATGTTGCTGGTTGGGATTATATTATGTATATATTGCAGGTTGAATTTGGTTGGGATTGTTCAATTTACAGGGGAGACTTTGCCAAATTTTTTTGGTAGAATGTCTGGGTTTTTAGTAAATGGGCTTGACATCGGGGTGATGTCGGTAACAAGACGGGATCCGTCCTGGTTTCCGAGGATTTCCAGGGTGGGTCCTGTCATAAAGATGCAAACTTATAGGAACAAACTCCTCACCCCTCAAGGAATCTCCAGCAAAATCAGTCCCTTACTGTCCCGCTCTTATACTAATTGTTGAGAAAATTAGAGTACACAACTCTAATATAGACTTGTTGGAGACAAAACAAGTAAACAAATTACTTGTATTAGACCACAAAATATTCCAACAAGACGACTCTCAAGGAAAAACACACTTTTTAGAAGCTGACACTCTTCTCACTTAGTAAAGACAAACTCTAAAACACTGACATTCATCAATGGAGTCATCATTAGGCCCGCAAGGCCATGGGCTGTGGGGGACCGATCCGGCCCATTGAGAAAAAGCACGGACCATTGTTGAGTGGGCCGGGCTTGGGCTTGGGGTCTAAAGCCCGGCCCCTTTGAGTCCAAGAAAGCCCAGCTCACGGGCTCACATACATATAAATAAATATATATATAAAACCCAAGTTAAATGAAATATGGAGAAAATCATTATCTATTATCATTGTAAGAATTGGAAAAAAAATGAAGTACAAGATAAAATATGATTTTATTAATATGGGGTTGTATAACTATATCTTTATATTTATGGGGGAAAAAAAAGAGAACTATGAAGTTATGAACAAAGAAAAAAAAATGGAGACATAAACATATAAACAAATGTAAATATAGAACTGTGAAAAAAAGAGGAAACATAAAAAACACACTAAAACATAGAAAAAAAAATACATATTAAAAAAAAAAAGACAAAATAAAGTAGGCCCATTTAGGTCCAGCCGGCCCGATGGGCTAGGCTTGGACTTTGAATTTTCAAAAAAAACCTGGCCCAGAGCATTATTTTCTCTCTCCTCCTTAAAGCCCAACCCGACCCGGCCCATTGATGAGGCCTACTCCTCACAAGATTGACATGAGTAAAGCTTATGATCGGGTGGAATGGAGTTTTCTGGAGGCCCTAATGAAAGGAATGGGTTTTGCCCCACGCTGGGTCCAATTAATCATGGAGTGCGTGACGACGGTTTCGTACTCTTTCATGTTGAATGGAAATCCAGTTGGTTATGTAATCCCACAGAGAGGACTGAGACAAGGTGACCCTCTTTCACCATATTTATTCTTACTATGCGCTGAGGCTTTCTCAAGTCTTATTTTGCAGGCGGAACGATGTGGTTTCCTCCATGGAGTGAATCTATGCCGGGGGGGCACCATCTGTTAGCCACCTTTTTTTCGCTGATGATAGCTTTGTGTTCTTACGGGCAAAACGACAAGACTGTCAACACCTTAGCAATATTTTCCACAAATATGAAATGGTGTCAGGCCAGAAAATAAATTTGGAGAAGAGTTCTGTCTCCTTCAGTAATAATATGCACTGTACTGATCAAGACAACCTAGCGGCAATTCTGGGTGTTAGAAGGGTTGACCAGCATGATGTTTACTTGGGGTTGCCCACTCATGTGGGTAGATCCAGAAGGCAATGTTTTAATTCTCTCAAGGAGCGCATTTGGAAGAAAGTACAAGGTTGGAAGGCCAAACTGTTAAGCTTTGCTGGGAAAGAAATTCTCCTTAAAGTGGTGGCACAAGCTGTGCCTATTTATATGATGAATTGCTTCCTCATCCCGAAATGTCTTTGCGATGAAATTCAACAAGTGATGGCACGTTACTGGTGGGGTGAGCAAGATGGGCACCGAAAAATACATTGGCTCCGCTGGAGTAAATTATGCTTGCCCAAACAGGAGGGTGGGCTTGGTTTTCGTAACTTATATGCCTTTAATATGGCGCTCTTGGCCAAACAATTATGGCGCTTGATTCAGACCCCAACCTCTCTAGTGGCTCGCGTTATGAAAGCCCGTTACTTCAAGAACTGCTCTATTTTAGAGGCACAACTTGGACATTCCTCCTCCTACATTTGGCAAAGCTTATGCAAAGCACGTGTGATTATTGAACAGGGAACTCGTTGGCGAATCGGGAATGGCAATAGTGTGCGTATATGGGGAGACCGATGGCTTCCTAGCTCTGAATCTTTCCAAATCTCCTCCGCACAAGCACAGGGGTTTGAGGAGGCAAAAGTGAGTTTTCTCATTGATCCAATCACTATGCAGTGGAGGGAGGACCTTTTGCAAGCTTGGTTCTCGGCCGAGGAAGTGAGGTGCATTCGAAACATTCCGTTAAGCTTTAGAGACCCACCAGACGCTTTGATTTGGCATTTTGAGAGAGGTGGTCAGTACACAGTGCGGACCGGGCATGAAGTTGCTCGTCGGGTTCTGCTCCAGCAAGACGAGGACGACACTACCACAAATGGGGGACCAATTGTAGCTTTTGACCATGTCTGGAAGAAGATCTGGAAAGTTCGGGTGCCACCAAAGGTCCGTATTTTCATCTGGCGCGCACTCTTGAATATTTTACCTACCAAGGATAATTTGGGTCACCGTGGCATCTCTGAATTGGGAGGATGTGTGTTTTGTGGAGCTGATGAAACGGTGGTCCATGTGCTTCTCCAATGCCCCATGGCTATTGCTTCTTGGTCTCTATTTCCGGCCTGGGCTCACCTTAATACTGATTCCACAGAGGAGTTCAAGATGTGGTTCCATGGATTTGCTGCGGATCACCCCACTCATGAGCTAGAGAAAGTCATGGTGTGCATGTGGATGCTGTGGTTTGAGAGGAATCAAATGATCTGGACAGGACGTCATCGGAGTTCAACAGAAGTTGTGAGTGGAGCAATGTACTGTCTGCAGGAGTTTCAGGAGTTACACCCCCCTCCCAAGAAACATATTTCACGTGCCAAAGCCAAATGGCTACGGCCACCGACTGGAGCTATTAAAATAAATGTGAGTGGAATGTTTCATGTTGAATCCAGCTTTGGTGGGGTTGGTTTGGTGGTCCGAAATTATACAGGTGCTTTTCTTGCATGCAAGTTGGTTGTGCTACGTGGAGTATCAAATCCCATGCATGCCAAGCTAGTTGCATTAAGAGAAGGCTTAATCTATGCTGCCAAATGGTCCAACTTGGACTGTCATATAGAAGGGGATTCTCAAGGCGCTCTACACTCAGTACAACAGGGCCAAGCTGATCTGTCCCACCTTGGTTGCCTAATAGAGGATTGTAAAACACTTTTGGCCAAACAAGAGCGTGTCTATTTGAGGTTTACAGAGAGGAAGGCTAATGGGGTTGCAACTCGCCTGGCACACTATGCTCTACACTCCCAGGAAGCAGCAGAATGGGTTACTGATCCTCCAGTTTTCCTACAGGATGTTCTGTTTTCTGATGTTATGTAATTTTCCTTGTTCTGTACGTTATTGGCATAGGTGGTACTCTTTCCTACCCCGGGGTTTTTCCCTTGTGGTTTTCTCCGGGAAGGTTTTAACGAGGCCACACTTTACATGCCTATTATTCCTCCCTTCTAATGGAATGAAATCAACCTTTTCAAAAACTTCTTGACTTCTTAATTGATTACATTAATAAGTTTCATGCCCACTTATAAAAGTAGTAACCGACTTATGTAAGTCGGCTTTATATAGTTAACCCACCATGGAAAAACATCCCAGCCACAAGTTCAACCGACCTTGAAAATATCTTAAAGGTTCTAATTGTTTAGGCTGTTTGGTGTTGCTTACTTTGCTGAGTCGACTTCACTTGAGCATTCTAGATTTTTCTAGTTTTATTTGTGCATTATTATTTCTATGGGCTTGAATTTTACTTTTCTTGGGCTAATTAATATGTTTGTGGGCTGGGGTTGATATTTTAACACTAAACTCCTTAATCACAGAAAAAGCGTCAGGCCCGCACGAAATTTGGATTGCGTGTAAAGCCTTGGAAGTCTTCTTCCTCCAAAGCCTCGAACTGACAAGCGTTTTCTGGTTTAGGAAGTTCTGCTGTACCCTACACTACATCCCAAAGGCCTCTAGCCAACAAGTAATTTTTAACCAATGCACTCCAGTACTCAAGGATGTCTCGTTCTACGTACACGCACATGGAACTTGTTTTAAATGGTATTTGTGTTATAATATATATTCAAATGTTGAATTTGATGTTCTTATAGCACTTTGTCAATGTATTGTGGGCGTTGACTTATTTGGGTATCGTGAGTATGTTCATATGGATTTTGGGGAATTCTATCTATATTGCCTATGTGTGGGGTATTTGAGTTGTTGAGATGAGATTATGGAAGGATATGAGTATGAGGGGTTGTTGAGAGAAAAATGTATGATTACACTATGTACGTACCATCCCCAGTTACTAGACTTCCCACACGCGGCATTGGTAGTTCTGGCGTGTGGGAATAACATGTGATTATTGGTCTCACACATGGCGTTGGTAGTTCCGGCGTGTGAGACACTTCCCATACGTGGCGTTGGTAGTTCCGGCATATGGGAAGAGTATGTATATTGCTTGGAATCATCACACATGGCGTTGGTAGTTCCGATGTGTGATGATGATGTTAGTCTGCGCTTGTAGGACTTGGTATTTGAGCTGCACGTGGCGTTGGTATTTCCGGCTTGTGAGCTATGGAGTTTCGTCCCCCGGTTGGACTGCTCATCCCTAGACGCAGGATAGCACCTAGAAATCCTGCAGGCTAGCCAAACAATCCCCCGGTTGGATTGTTTTCCCGGTACATAAGTAGTGAGAGAAGTATATGATATATTTATATATGTACATAGGTGTGAGTGTAAATTAATTAGAGTATATGTAGTAGGTTGGTAAGAGCACTATAATTTTGGGAATGGAGTTTGTGGTTTGAGATTTTTGGGTTCAATGGGTTTCTGAGATTAATGTTTTTGAGTATTTGATTATGAATTGTGAATCTGCATTTTTGGGCATTATTTTTACACGGTGGGGTTATTATGTTGTTTTAAATGCAAACCTTGTCTTTGTCCACTCACATGTATTCTGTTTTACGCCCCCCAGACAGTAGTCGCTCCAGGAAGGTTGCAAGCTGTGTATGAGGCTTGAATACGTGAACTTCAGTAGATAGAAATGAGTAATTTCTTTCTACTCATATGTTGTTGTAAACTAAATCTGTAGACGCTCTTTTATTGCTCATGTTAGGTTGTTACTTAAGGTCGGAGGCCATTTCAGTTTAAATTGTTATATGTTGAAAGCATGCTACTGGTTGAGATTTATTATGTATATTATTGCAGGTTGAATTTTTGTTGGGTTTGTGCATTTTATAGGGGAGACTTTGCCAAAAATTTGGTAGAATGTCTCGGTTTTTAGTAAGTGGGCCTGGCATCGGGGTGATGTTGGCAAAAAGACGAGATTCGTCTTGGATTCCGGGGAATTCCAGGGCGGGTCCTGTCACTAATTTTAAGTGACCTATGGGCCAAATCGAGTAAGATATTGGTTCTCGGGTTGGTTTGGGTCCAAATTGAAAGCCAAAAATGAGCCAACCCGATAGGCTCCGATTTGGTTCTGGCTTTTTGGTCGGTTTTGGGCTTTAGCCCAATACTAGTTATTTTTAAGCCCAAATCACTTTTTTGGGCCAATTTTTTTATTTTTTATTTGGGTCAAATTGCCAAAACCTAATTAATTAATTTATTCAAAAGCCCAATTTTGTTAGTCACCAGTAGGGCTCGTCAATGGGCCAGGTCGGGCTAGCCCAGCCCAAATTTAACGGGCTTGGGTCGGGCTGGGCTTTAAAGAGGGGAGAGAAAATATTGGGCTGGGCCGGGCCTGATTTTTTAGAATATTCAAAGCCCAAGCCCGACCCATAGGTCGGGCTTGAGAAAGCCCATTGGGCCAAGCTGGGCTAAGCCTAACGGGCCGGGTCAAAACGGGCCTACTTCATTCGAAAAAAATCATAAACATAATCATAAGGGCATTTTAGTCTAAATTTGAGATTAAACTCACTTAATTCCAATATTTTCACATCAAACCAAATTCATAAAATACCCAATAAAGTCACACAACTTAATAAAATTTTCCACAAAAATAATAAAACAAAGTATTATTTTTGAGGTTATTACATAATTAGACCGTAATACGTTTTAAGAAATAATTTTAAAAAATAATAAGTATCAAAAAGATATTTTTTTTAAAGGATGGTATAAATAAATATGTAAATGTTTGGTGATGTGTTCAAGAAAAACATGATTATATTTGGTGGTAGTACGATTATGTTTCGTGATATGATTATATTTAGTGATATGATATATTGTTCATCTTATTTATATATATATATATATATAATTGTTGTATTAATAATTGACACAAATAAATGTGCTAATCATCCAATTATAAACTAGGAATGAGTAAAGAAAAGTAAATGAAATGAAACAAATTATATATGTGATTTAAGTGATATAATCCTAATCCTAAACTCTTATTTATACATAATTATATATGTATGCGGACCTAACGGGCCGGGCTTTCTTGGGCTGGGCCGGGCCTATGGGCCGGGCCGGGCTTCAGACACCCAAGCCCAAGCCTAGCCCGGCCCAAGGTGGGCCAGGCCAGGCCCAATGGGCCAGGCGGGCCCCCATCGGCCCATGAGCCTGCAGGCCAAATGATGAGACCTAGTCACCAGTTCTAATTTTTTTTTAACCGAAGGTTGAACTATTGACTTCGGTTCGAGTCAGGTTTAGTGTTGACTTCTTCGGTTTGGTAAAAAAAACCTCATTTTTCGGTTCAATTTGGTTTGGTTCGGTCGATTCATTCATTTTATCGGTTTTTATGCCCACCCCTAATTGAATACCATCTCAACTCTTGCACACATCATTCAAAGAGACTAAATGTACTATACAAGTCTTAAAAAAAAACTAAAAACTAAAAGTCATAATGCTATTAATTATTTTCTTATATTCTCTCTCCCCTCTATTCCTTTTTCTGTTTAATGGGCAATCCTTTTCTTTCATCTTCTATCTTCTTTTCCACTACTTTCTCTGGCTTTATTGTATAGGAGTTTACATGCACACACCCTCAAAACGTTTCCAACGAATTCCTTATTGAAAAGAGTTTTGTAGTTTATTTTCCTTCTTCATAAATTTGGTCATTGTTGCTGTAAAAATGTTAATAATATTAGTGTCCATGAAATTTAATGATTTCAGACAGTGAAGGAAATATAGATTAATAAGCATTTTGTCAGTCTTTGTTTAATAAATTTACTGAATTAGACTTGGAGTAAAGAATGACTAGTTAAAAGTAGTTGGGGTTGTTAATTGTCAGTCTTTAAAGTAGTTGGGGGGCTTTTGTCTAACTCTTAGTTCACATGTGGATATCAGAAATCTCAGCAAAGATTTTTCGGAACAAAACATATTTTTAAAATCCGAATTGATACACAATATTCAAAAAGTACTTGATTCAAAAAGCAAACAAAAGACTGAAATTTCAAATTATTCAAAAAGTATCATTGTCGATGATGGTAGGTACTAGGTAAGGTCCAGCATTTGGATCTTGGTTTTGGAAATAGTCCTTCCTTCTTGAAAAGAGTATTGCAAAGGTATCTTATGCTTCCTTTGGTGTTTTGGCTTACCTTATATGCTCCAACATTTCTTCTTCAATTATTCTCTTTAGGGAAAACATGGCTTTACCTGCTTTGATCTTCCATTTACGCAAAATGTCTCTATTATCTCTTCACGGCTATGCAACGTCATTACCCTCGACGACATCCCAAAGATCTTGACTTTGCAAATAATACTCCATACATGTCGCCCACGTGTTGTAATTTTTGTTGTTGAGCTTTATGATTCCTCCAACTACGTGAAGATCACCCATCGTGTCGGCAGAATTTCGACTGTACCAAACAAGCTTGATCTAAAGATGCAAACTTGTAGAGACAAACTCCTCATGACTCAAGGAAGCTCCTGCAGAATCAGTCATTGATTGTCCCGCTCTAATACCAATTATTAAGAAAATTAGAGTACACAACTCTAATATAGACTTGTTGGAGACAAAACAAGTAAAGAAATTACTTGTATTAGACTCACGAAATGTTACAAGAAGACAACTCTCAAGAAAAAAACACACACTTTTTAGAAACTGACACTCTTTCTCACTTACTAAAGGCAAACTCTAAAACACTTAACTCTAAAGCTTACTGTCACTCAACTTCTTGACTTCTTAATTGATTACATTAATAAACTTCATGCCTATTTATAAAAGTAGTAACCGACTTATGTAAGTAGGCTTTATATAGTTAACCGACCTTGACAAAACATCCCAGCCACATGTTCAACCGACCTTGAAAATATCTTGAAGGTTGTGGGCTGGGGTTGATATTTTTTAACACTAATCTCCTTAGTCACGGAAAAAGCATCGGGCCCGCACGACATTTGGATTGCTTGCAAAGCCCTGGAAGTCTTCTCCTCGAACTGACAAGCGTTTTCTGGTTTAGGACGTTCAGCTGTAGCCTACACTACATCCCAAAGGCCTCTAGCCAACAAGTAATTTTTAACCATGCACTCCAGTACTCAGTTATCTTCGTTAAGAACTTCCACAATAATTGCATCGGCAAGAACCACAGGTTTCACCACTCTTACTGATACGAGCGGCTGAAAGCTGACCCGGCTTGCTATTTTTGTTGTTTTTATATTTAGGTCTCAGATCAAAGTTTACAACTCAGAAGAGTAAAGGATCTCATTTTAAAGTAGTGTTGGGGGTTGAGTGCATTAAGAATCAGGCCTGTTCTTTTCAAGCATTCTTTAAGTACTTACATTTGTTCTTTTTCTTTATCTGAGTATACCAATATTCCATCTATTACTTATATACCCAAAAAAATTAAAAGAGAAAAAGAAAAAATTCCAAAGGAATTGAGATTACGAATCATGAAAACTTCAACGACTAAATAAATAAATAAACCATGTAGCTTATGTACACCATGTAGTTTATGTTTTTTTATTTCAGCATTCACCACCAATAAATAAATAAACCAGTGTTTTGTTTGTTTCAATACATTGCTAACAGAAGCCAACTCTATGGATCAAATATATTGAAAAACTTAAGCTGATTCTGATTATTTTTCCTATTGCTAGGGTACTGAGGCTTTCACCTTGTTCTTTTCGTTGCTCGATCTTCGTATGTAACAGGCAGAGCTCAAAACAAAGTCAAAGAACTTCAAGACTTGATCCCAAATTATTTTCTCACACGCTTTTCTTCACCAAGAATCAACAACATATTATCAGGGAGGGTGGGGAGGGGAGCGAAGCAAAAGCTTATCCAACAATTATATCTTCACAAGAACAAATAAAATAGATATGAACTTTCAGTTTTATTATAGGATGCCAAACACATACATGGCATGGACAATGCATACAAGCTTCTTAGAAGTTACAACATTACCACTTATACGTACCATCAAGAAATTATGTCCATGATTTCACTTTATTCCTATCAAATATTGCTCTTCCAAGTAGAAGAATTTATGCCCTCGATTTCACTTTCCTGTCAAATATTCCTCCTCCATAAGTAGAAATGTACATCTCAACTAGAAGAGGAAATTGCATCCAAATAAATAAGGTGACTGGAATACTAGCAAGGAAAATCATTGGAATAACAATCCACGACTGTTCATGGACCATAATGAAAAGGGCAGAAGAAAAGGCAACCATCATGGCGGCAATAGAGAAGAATAGTGTGGAAAGCCCTATTATCATCTTTGTTGGTAAGGATTTGAGGAAATCATCTTCTGCATAACGTGATGTAAGGATTCCCAAGAACATCAACACTGAAGTTGTGGAAGAAAAGAGAGATATTGCATCTGAAACTATAAAAGCCATAAACAACTTTTTATGCAGGAATATTGGGAAGCCTGTTTCTCCATTGTTTCCACCGGGAATTGTGAATGCTGCAGCAAACATGATGGTAATAATGAGAGCACCTACAACTGTACATGAAGATGCAGTTCCTTTCATCCATCTTTCTCCTTCCTTCACCAATTCTTTGTGGTTCTTAGTAAACAGCTTACATGGGGTCATACCGTCGTTATTAGTAGAGTCTTTCGTCCGGGGTAATACAATAGTCTCGACCTCCTACATTTTTGTTGAACACAAATATTCATATGAGTAAAAGATTATTACTCTATTTTTCCAATAATTCCCTCTTGAATCTTTGAGATTTCAGAGAAGCCATACAAACCCAAACCATTAGAGAGCAGAGGTAACAAGAAGACTAGCATGCTGACCGTAAAGTAAGTTGAATGAGACATCTTAGGGCCGACCTTTATTCCAATTTTTCTTTTCATTCTGCATTTGAAGTTTCTATTAAAGGTTATAGTTTAACTCGTGCTATTTTGCTCTAGTTTTCGATTAGAAAATGCGTTTGAAGCATTAGTTTTCAATATTGGAATGAATAAACTAAAAGTAACTGTGCTGACCACCTTTCCAGAGCATCTACAACGGGCTCCCTAAATGACCTCTTTAGACAAATTTTAGGGAAGAACTGGAAAAATACAACTCCAACCATACTTCCTGTCCACCTCCTAAAATATGGAGACTTCTAGGAGCTCCTAAATTTGAGAAAAGAGAAAGGACTCCTAGTGACTCTTTATAATTTAATTATGCTTTATTTTATGAATATTTTAAACCTTTAATTAATGGTAACTATTTTGTATGTTATTATTTTTATAGAGATAGACCAATTAAAAGATAGTTATAGCATAATTGGAGTTAAAATTTTATAGAGAGCTTCTAAAATAATGTTTATATGTGTTTAGCTAAATTTTAACTAAAAAATAGAGAGCATGATTGTCGATTCTCTTACACTTTTTGTAACGAAAACATGCTCTCAATACACAGCATGATTCTCAAATAATGTTCAATGACTCATTTCAGCCCAAACAATTTATTTTCATCTATGTTACAATTTGTATAAGTTGAAAAAGTATAAAGTAACTCCGATTTTCTTTAATTTTTTTAAGATAGCATCCGTCTATCTGCTGATGCAATGTAATGCAAATGATGTTGGAAAAGCCACAATTTTTCAAATGAATATGGATGAATGATGTAGAGAACAAAGATGAACCCATATGCTTAGTGGATAATGCTTTTATTGATTGCGTGCAGGCCTTCATTTGAATATGCGCATAAAGCTCGAGGGCAGTTTGAAATTGGTTTGGTTAGACTTAGAGCACTTCGTTTATACCAAAACAAGTTTGACACCTTCATAAACAAACCAATAGCAAACCAAAAACAAAGAGAAAAAGTTCGAATAATATTATATTTTACACACCAAGGCGGAGCCAGAAACATAGATCATGGGGAATAGTATATAAAAATTTGAAATCAGTTATTTTTGTCTTTTATAAGCATATGACATGTAATGTTAGAAAGGGTCTTTAAAAGGGCATATATATGAAAGCTAATTCATAAGAGAGAAAAAAAAAATAACTATGAATTATATAGAATATGTTCTGACCTTAAACCATTGCAGTTCTCTCTGCATTTGCAAAGCTGCACCTGAGATATTATCGAGCTTTGCCAATGGGGATAGCATCCCGGTCATATGTAGGGAGCAATTGCCATAGTTATCTCCAAAAGTTCCAATCAATGTTCTTTTTCTTTTATTGAGTCTATAAATAAGGCTATAAATTTTTTCTTGGCGACATTCAATTGCAAACTGAAAGGGGTCCCTTCCCATTTGGTTCTGGATCCACATGAGATCTGGTCTTGCTTGCAATACACTGTCAGTAAACTCAAACATCCCTTTCTCGATAGCTCTGAAAATTGCTTTACGTACATAATCTTTTCTATGTGAATGTTTTATCAATTCACACATGTGATGTAGGAGTTCAAGTGATTGAATATGGCCCTGTTTTATTTGGCGTATGCGGTTGATTCCTAGGTTGGCATTGAAAAAAAAACATGTCATACCACTAAAAATTTATTGAAAAAATTTATTACTAAAACAATTAAATAAAAAAGAAGAATAAAAAAAAAAAAAAAAAAAAAAAAAAAATTGTAGCATACCCAAACGTTCAAGGAGATTTGATTTCAAACCTTGCAAGAGACCTACCACTGTAATGGAAATTCAAAATCTAAATATAAGATGGTGAAAGCTGTATGTATCTCTGTTAATTAGATGATGACAAAATGTGTAAAAGGGAAGAAGTATTAGCTCACTTGAAAAGTTTCATAAAATGGGTGCAAGGAATATTTAGATCCATACATGAATGCGAACATGTATGTACAGTGGGCAGGGCTGAACCCTTATCCCACTGGTTGTTGCATCCGTTAAAACAAGCAGGCCACGTGATGCTGTTCTGGGAATCCAACCCTCGCAAAATATGTGCGGCTTTTCGCCTACTCGCCGATATTCGGAGCATGAGCACGCACACAACTTTTCAGTTATTTTTTCTAAACGATTGTCCATCCACACGTCTTTTATATAGTTGTTGATGTAACAGCTTTCAAAATTAGATGACTAGGTTTTGAATAATTCTATATATGTTTTTTTTTACTCCAAATCAATGTAAAATTTCAACAGCTAGTTTTCCAATTATCCAAAATTGCAACTCCTTTTTTGTTTTAATCTAATCATATTTTCCCTATAAACACCCAATTAATTGCAATAAAAAAATGAGAGTTTCACAAAAACACCCAAAATGGGAGATGAAATTATAAAAAAACCCAACACCCAAAACACTTTATAAACACACCCAAAATCCATCATTGCACACACTCAAAACCCATTTATAAACACACCCAAAAAAAAAATACAATTGTTGACTTTGGGGTTGATTTTGAGTGTGTTTCTATGTTTAAATAGTGTTTGAATTTTTTTATAAATACATGTCTAGGATTGGGTTTATTTATAAATTTGTATAAAAAAATTCACCACTCTTTTTCCATTTGCTCAAATTTCAAGGACATTTAAATTTACTTAATTAAATTCTTGAAAACAGAAAACTCAATTCAGCTCCATATTTCGCTCACATGTGTTTAATAATATCATTTCAGACGGTAATGTGGGCAAATGGACATATGAATGATTGGTGTGTGTCTGAAGGAAGTTCAGGTTTCACCCCAAAATCAATTTGCAATGAGGAGGAGTAGCCCAATACCTTATAAGCCCTTGCAAATTTTTCTAACTTTCCAATGTGGAACATTTTCACATTCACATTCTCATAGTGTCTCATTCAGGCTCGACAGAAGCTTCCTCCATATGATATGCACGCGATGTGGAAAATTATACAAGCAATATTTATATTGTCCCAAATAAATTCTTGATGCCATTTCCAGGCAGGACCCTTGATAAATGCAAACCAAGTTTGAAGGATGTTGAGAAGGTCTCTCAATATCCTTCCAATACTTCTTGCATTTTGGACATAATTGGCGAGTTTGCCCGCATGTAAAGCCCAACAACCACACCCGCTCCATGTTACCCAATATGTATTGTCTACGTGTTAAGCTAGAAAATTCGCCACACATGCCAGAGCATGTGAGAATGTGAAGGTGGAAATGTCCTAGAAAGCTTAAAAACCTAGCAATAACTTATGAGGAGTTTGGTGCAAATGTCCCATCAAATGGTAATACAAAATGAGTACGATATGATAGGAGTGCAGCTAACGATGAAGGGAATAAACTTATGCATCAAGAAGAGATAAAGGCTAGTTAGATGAAAAGATGAGGAAGCTTTCAACATTTTCAAAATATGCAAAGCAAAAGAACCAATGGGAAATGATGGGCTAGCTGCTATAAAAAGGGAGGTAGCTAGAGTCTCTAAACATATGAGAGCGTAAGCAAGAAAGAAATGAAGGAGAAGTAGGAAACTATGCCACCATAACAGCCCCTTGTGGCTCATTCATTGATAAAAGGGATATTCATTGAAATGTCACATGAACTTATACTTTAGTTTTAATTTGTCACTTGAAAAAAAAAATTTAAGTGAAATGTCACTTGAATTTTTCAAAATCCAAGATTTGTCACCTGATTTTAATATCATCCAATTTTCCAACTATTTTCAAGGGTATTTTAGTCTTTTTATTTTCAAAAGTATTTTAAAAATGGAAAAATCATTATAAAAAAATTATGAAAAGACCCTTGAAAATTATAAAAATTATATATCGTTTCACATTTAATCCCCAGCCATTTTTACATTTAAGCTTTATTTTTTTAATAATAATTTTTTCCATTTTAAAATATCCTTGAAAATGAAAAGACTAAAATACCCTTGAAAATAGATGGAAAATTGGATGATGTTAAACTTAGGTGATAAATCAATGGATTTTGAAATTAGGTGACTTATTTTTTTTTTTTTTTTTTTTTTTTTTTTTTTTTTTTTTTTTTTGTGACAAATTGAAACTAAGGTATAAGTTTAGGTGACATTTCAACAAATATCCCTTGATAAAAAAATCTGAAAAATTATATCTTCATTATGTTTATGTTACTATTTTTATTTTCAGTTAGTATGAGGAACTAAACCTCTAAGCCCTAGGATAGAGATTGAAGCACTAACATAATTTTCAAATTTTCAAATTACTCCGTTTCATGCTATTATGGTTCTTGTGATGCCATGCTCTCTTCAATGTTAATGGACTCCTTTATGTTTAATCGAAGTAAACGCCATGCCCAAAAATTGGTATGGTTAAGGGTAGGGAGGCCTAAGAGATGTCATTAATTAGAGCAGTATTAATAAGTATTAATAAGGGTGATTCCACTGTATGGTATAAATGGGTTGAGAATTTTGTACAGATGTGGTAGACTCTTAGAGCTGTCTCTGAAAGCCTTAATGTCGGAGTTGGAAAGTTCAATGACGCTGGACAAGATAACATGGATACTATCCTTTCCTGAACATATTGGCTGAGGAAGTGTGTATGGAGGATGATGTTTGAAATATATGCATATTTGTGTAAATATAAAACGGATTAAATACGTCCAATTAAAACAATCACAATTAACAATGGGTAGATTAAAGGAGAAAGAAAGTTTGGCCTGTGAACCCAAGAAAGGCACGATAAACGCTGTCCTAAAGCCGTATATGTAACATCCCACATCGACCAACGAAGAGGGGGTGATGTGCCTTATATGTACATGCCCACCTCCATCTAGCACGAAGCCTTTTGGGAGCTCACTAGCTTCGGAGTCATGGGAACTCCGAAGTTAAGCAAGTTGGGGCTAGAGCAATCCCATGATGAGTGACCCACTAGGAAGTTGCTTGTGAATTCTCAGAAACAAAACCATGAGAGCAGAGGGCGGGGGCTCAAAGCGGACAATATCGTGCTACGGCGGAGCCAATCCCGGAATGTGACAATTTGGTATTAGAGCCACTCTGCCATGTGGTGCGAGTGGGCCGACGAGGATGTCGAGCCCTTAAGGGGGGTGGATTGTAACATCCCACATCGACCAATGAAGAAGGGATGATGTGTGCCTTATATGCACATGCCGGCCTCCATCTAGCACGAGGCCTTTTGGGAGCTCACTGGCTTCGAAATCATGGGTGACCCACTAGGAAGTTGCTTGTGAGTTCTCAGAAACAACGGCAAACGGGTATGCCAAGTGTTGATCGATTGCCTATGAAATAGATTTCATAGGCAAAGAGAATTATAGGAGATGGAGAATGATGAGTATGATTCAGATATGGAGTATGAGAGTAATAGAGAATTGTTCGTATATGAGAGTAACAGAGAATTGTTCGTACTCTGTTATGAATGAGGAGTTCTTTATTTATAAGACTTCACACACCCTTTTATAAAGTCACGTCTATTGGGTCAGCAAATATGACTCTTAAAATAAATAATCATTACTATTAAATATATAACAATAATAATAAGTTTTGAATTTTAATAAAATAAAACAAAATAATAAATAACTAACAATCCCCCGCAAGATTCAAAACTTCATAAGGAATAGTCAAAATGAAAAACAAGTAAAGATGAGGAAACTTGGGCAGTATGTATACCGCGCAATGGGTGTAGGTGTCTTCCGGACTTGAACCTACACTTAAGGAATTATTAGTGTGACCAACTTTCATCTGAAGGAATCATAGTGAATTATGTCTTGAACTAGACCCCTTTGAGCAGGTTAGCACTATTAATGTCCATGTGCTTAATCTTGATTATCATGAAAGTTATTATAGAACAACCCAACTCTCACAGATGATTGATGATGGGCTTGTCCATGGCGTTTTTCCCCTTCCCCTAAATTTTAATCTTCCCCAAGTTTTTTATTTGGAATGTGAGAGGTGCTGGGGTTGACCAATCTTCTGGTACAATTAACGATTTGAAGAAATTGCATCATTTTGACTTCTTTGCAGTTTTAAAGCCCATAATTAGTGGGGTCAGAGCGGCAAAGGTAATTGCGAAACTTCATTTTTAAAGGAAAGAAGTTGTGGAGGCCGGTGGGTTCTCCGGAGGAATCTGGTTTCTCTGGAATGAATCTAAGATCAGGGTGCAGCCCATTGTTCTCATGAAGCAAGGTATTATTATATTGATTTCTTAGGTGGGTCACTCAGGATTTGCTGTTGGCAGTTGTGTATAGGAAGCCCTTGCCCTAGGAAAAGAGATTGTTTGTGGAGGCATCTAATTGATGATGGTGCTGCCTACACTTTACCAAGGACCATTATTGGAGATTTTAATGAGATTGCTTTGCTCAGATGAGAGGAAATGCGGAAGTGATCGATGGAAACCATGTAGACTTCCTCATTGGATTCAGGCTCATAAAATTATGGACCTTGGATTTATTTGCAGCCCTTTCACCTCGATT